TGTGTTGATTTTGAGATATATAATACTTGCATGTTCTAAGTGCAATTTTTTCCCCCTAACACGTTCTAGCATATGAGAATTTTTCAGCCACACAATTCAATTCCTAAATCTAACAGTGAGAGGCTCTATAAATCTTCCCCTAGCCATCCCCAATGATTAATCGCAGTGTCACAGCTAATTAATGCTCTACTCTTTCAACCTCTTGTCACTTTCAATAGTTTCTTCTACCTGCTCCCATTATGACTTGCCTTCAATAACTGCTGACACAGCTTGGTTGTTGCTAGTACAATCTTAAACAATTTGTTGAAATTGACTTCTAGTCTTCTGGGACATCTACTAACCGTGCAAATTTCCTAAGCTGTCTCTGTCCACTTTAGCTGTCACACACTGTGTTTATGTTACACGTACCAAAAAGCTCGAAATTGTTCTACAGTACGAGATTTGGATATTTAACTCCAAATCAACACGAAATTCTTTCCTAATTTTGTAGCCCCATCTTAGTTTTTTTTTTTTCATATAATGATTACGAGTAAGCTATGAAGGTTAAATCAATACATGATACTACACCTCAATAGCATTGCTTAATTGAAGTTTGGTCTTGTTTAATCGAATCATAACTCATGATTTCCACCTAAAACTCACATAAATGTCACATAAATTTTATTCAGTTCCACCTCATTCCGACACTCAATACAGCCATGTTCATAAAATTTTCCAGGTTTAGTGTACTTGAGAATTCTTTTTTTAAAAAAAATACTTAAGAATTATCCACATTTGAAAGTGTTGTTTATATGTGCTTTAAATGTCACGTCTTCTATGTTCACACATGTATCACTTTTTTAAAAAGGGAGGGATGAGATATAAAAAATGAGGAAGGAGAGAGGAGATTTGAACACATATAACGTTTTGCTAAAACGTTATCAAAATTAGTCATTCTGTACAAAAATAATTGTTCAGAAATTTACTTACCAAAAAAAAAATAACTGTTCAACATTTTAAAGCACATAAAAATTTATCCTTTAATTAAAATTTCCACTCTATGTTTGTTTTTCCGATAGGGTTTATACAAAGTTCGAATATCCTTTTAATTCTGTGACAAAATTGTTCTAATTAAATTGCCTTAAAGGTCCAGTTAAATTAAATTGGCTTGGAGGTCCTCAATTGCACCAAAAAAAAAAAAAAACTTCGCTCTAAATTCCGAAATATATAGAAATAGGCTCCAAATTCTCCTGTACTCTCTTATCACATGGTAACATAGAAACTTGTACCGAGTCAATCAAGTAATAAACGGATAGCCGTGCAGACGCACAAAACCAAGGTTATCATCGCCCCAACTTGAATATAAATATGCACACAACAAAGGTAGAAATCTCACAAGAAAACCAACAAAACAAAAAACACGTGGAAGCCACCTATGTATCAATGTTTACAGTGTATTCTTCTTGTCTTCTTCTTCTTCTTCTTGTAGTAGCAGTATCATGGAAAGCTTTGAACTGGGTATGGTTTAGACCGAAGAAGCTGGAGAAACGTCTGAAAGAGCAAGGTTTCCGGGGAAACCCTTACAAGCTGCTCCATGGAGACTTCAAAGAGATGTCGACCCTGTACACAGAAGCCCAATCCAAGAATCTTAATCTCTCCGACGACATCGTACCAAGAGTTATTCCTCAATATCTTGGAGCCGTTAAGAAATATGGTAGTATTTATTGTTCTTGTCAACTCTGCTTCCATCTCTTTGCCTCGTAACCTCTTTTGCCCCTCGTATGATCTCCATTTTTTTTTTCCTTTTTTCTGCTTTTGGTTAGATAGAATATCATTTACCTCCTGATGTATTTCGTGCTTAAATACGAGTAATATTATAGTATTAGGGTATATGATTTCCCTTTCAGCTTTTGTATTTTAGGATGGTCGTTTTTCTTGGTCTTTTTGTATTTTTTTTTCCGTTTGTTATTGTTTTACAACTTGGAATTGTCATAAAGGGCCTCAATACAGCTGATATTTATTATTTCGTCCTACTAGAATATGGACATCCTAATAATTAATTGATTATCAGTAATTATGCATGTCATTTGACAATGAAGATTGAATCTTGAATTTGAAATCAATTATGATCAGATTAAATAAGCAATCAAATGATCAAATAAACAAAACGAGGATTATTTTAGTTCCGACAAAAATCTATGCTCCCAATAAACTTTAGACTTCAAGTTTCCTTTCTTGTTTCCTTTTAATTTCTATTTTTGGTTTGTTTGTTTTACTATCTTTGTGAATCTTTTTTCAATTCTTTTTTCGATAAAGTGCACTATAACCCCCCAAACTACAAAAATTCTCATAGAAACCATTCATTTTTTTTTGAGTCAATTAACCCATTATAGTACTCAAAAGTTTCAATCAGTCCATCCCGTCAACATCTCCCGCCAAGCTAATGGATGTGTGCAATTTGGCAGGAACAAAAATGACATTTTGTCTCATCCATCTTTTCCAATCGTTTAAAACCAAATTCTCAAGGTTTTGGGAGCTAACTTGATGAGAATGAAGAATTTTAGTCGATTAGGGAGGTGGATGAGAAGAAATGTCAATTTTATCCTTGACAATTGCTCGTACTTGACATTCTGAATAGATTTCCAGTTAACTTAATCGAAGATTTTGAATCACTTTAAATAGTTTATTAGGTTGATTGATGCAAAAAAAGAAAAAAAAAGTTTTGTAGAACTTGAATTATTTTAATACTTTGGCCTTGTATTTTTATTTTTTGAAACACTTGATTTTATTATCCTTTCCTAGTGGAAGGCATTTAACTATTTATACTTTCCAGTTTTGGGCTCCTAATCCAAGCGGCTCTGACTTCCAGGTAAAAATACATATTTATGGTTTGGGCCGAGACCTGCCGTGGTGATCATGGACCCTAATCTAATAAAGGCAGTTACACAAAAGGTTGATGTTTTCCGGAAGCTCCGTGTTCATCCACTCGGCAGATTACTGGCTCTAGGACTAGTGAGCTATGAGGGAGAAAAATGGGCCAAACAGAGAAAGCTCCTCAACCCAGCTTTCCACGTTGAGAAATTGAAGGTTCTCTTCTCTCTAATTTAATCATTTTATGGGGTTTCAAATTCATATGATGTGGTATTCATTCAACTCCGTCTGTGTATACACTGACTGACTGACAGTGTAGAAAAGATTAATCTTTTTTTTTTTGAACGGATGACCTGTAAATACTCATTAGTGCGAGTAAATTATAGTAAAATTATCATATAAATTCACACACACACACTTATTATATCCTAAAATTGAAAACACTCTCTGCATTGGACAGTCCTTGGTAAATTGCATCATTTATTTACTAAGTAGCCTTCAATGTGGAGTAGTTTCTTTCACTGATTTTCTTTTATTTTATGGATAAACAGCTTATGCTCCCAGCCTTCTATAAAAGTGCAAGTGAGATGGTGACGAAATGGGAGAATGTTATTTCACCAAAGGGGTTGGCTGAAGTGGATGTTTGGCCCAATCTTCAGGCTCTTACCAGCGATGCAATTTCTCGTACAGCATTTGGCAGCAACTATGAAGAAGGAAGAAGGATCTTTGAGCTCCAGAGAGAGCAAACTGAGCATTTGATGCAGGCAGCACGGTCGGTGTACATCAACATCCCAGGATTTAGGTAGATTGATCATGAATTCTTGAGCGCTGTAGAAAATTGTGACTCCTAGAAATCAATGCTTTGAAAATCATGATTGGACAATAATCATGAAAGACTGCCTTAGATGGGCATTTTAACATTTGAGATGCGCCTAAGTGATTTAAAAATGGAGCCAAAAACATTGCTGCAAACATAGTTTGTTCTTGCTTTTTTTTTTTTTGGCTAAACTATGATCTTTGTTAGGTTCTTGCCAACCAAGAGGAACAGAAGAATGAAACAAATTACCAGAGAAGTTAATGGTTCAGTAAGGGAAATGATCAACACAAGAAGAAAGGCAATGAGAGCAGGAGAAGCCGGCTCTGATGACTTGTTGGGATTAATGCTTCAATCCAATTCTCAAGAAATCGAGAAGCATGGAAACAAGGACTTTGGTATGACTACCGAAGAAATTGTTGATGAGTGCAAGCTGTTCTATTTGGCTGGCCAGGAGACTACTTCAGGGCTACTCGTTTGGACAATGGTCTTACTCTGCAGGTACCCCGAATGGCAGGCACGTGCTAGAGAGGAGGTCCTGCAACAATTTGGAACTAAGGATCCGGACTTTGAGGGGTTAAATCACCTCAAAATTGTAAGCCAATCTTTTTCTTTGAAAAACATAAAATTAGCAATGATCATTTCATTGATTTGAAAATTGCACTAATGGCAGGAGAGACATACTAACGAAGTTCATCGAAGCTTCTCATCTACATAGACATCCCAATTACGCTCACATTTTTTTTTTGGTCCCCTTCTCATAGGTCACCATGATCTTGCATGAGGTTTTAAGGTTGTATCCACCAGTGCCTATAATGAGTCGAGGAACTACTCAAGAAACTAAATTAGGAAATTTAACTCTCCCGGCTGGAGTGCAAATCACGTTGCCAATAATGCTGATGCATCATGACCCTGATATATGGGGCGAGGACGTGAAAGAATTCAAGCCTGAGAGGTTTGCTGAAGGAGTATCACATGCAACAAAGGGCCAGGTTGCATACTTTCCATTTGGCTGGGGACCTCGCATTTGCATTGGACAAAATTTTGCCATGTTGGAAGCAAAATTGGCAATGTCTATGATTCTGCATCGCTTCTCCTTTGAACTCTCACCATCTTATACTCATGCTCCTGGAAGAGCTACAGCAGTAGTTCAACCCCAGTATGGAGCTCACTTGATTTTGCAGAAGATAATATAGTTTTTGTTGTTTCATATATATGACTTGACTTGCTAGCCCGGTATGTGGCAGCAGATTATCTTTTAACGAAATAAAGCACCATCTTCTATGCTTAACTTTGCTTGTAAACTAGTTTAAGTCCCGCCCAGTTCGGTATGTCAATGGATCTGTATGAATATAGCAGTACAGATTCACGTAATGTATTTCTCACGGCAAATTAAGAGAGAAATATTACATCTGCTTGTTTAATTTTGCAAGAGATCTTTCCTTTTTCTTTGATAATGGAGAAAACAAATGGCTTGTCATGGCTTAAAATCATTTAACAGCTGTTCTCAAACATTAATCAGTAGTCTGTAAATCTTATTAGCTAGTATTCAAAAATATTTCTTCGTGGTAAGTGGATCTCCAATGCAGCTTAGACAAGACGAAATTCTGTGCGATTACAAGAGAAATTATTGAAGAGTGTAAGCTGTTGTATTCAGCATCTGCCCAGACTAGCAAGAACGTGCTAGAGAATAGATTTTGCAACACATTGCTGGGACCAAAAATATCACAATTTGATGGTCTGTATAACCTAAAAGATTTTCAGTCAATTATATACCAAAATCCATGGCATATTGTACGTAAAAGAACTTTTAACCTAAAAGATATAAGTCAACTCATGATAGGTTGCAGCTTCTCATATGCCAATAAATTGTCTTAAGTAGTCTCCTTCCATTTCTCACATATCACAATGATCTTGCATGAGGTTTTAAGGCTATACTCACCATTTTTTCTTCCTGGTCAAACATTTGTTGAAGAAATTAAACTACAGAGAATCTAATTATCTCAGTTGAGTTGACTTTATTTGCAAAATTTTTAATCACCATGAATTTGTTGGAGATTTTCAAAAGATGAAAGGTCTCAAGGTTCACAAAATAACAAAATTTGTGGCTGTTCATTCAAGTGTGAAGTACTACAATTAATCATTAAAGTACTATTAGAATAGAAGTAACTCCTTTAGTAATGAGAGGTCATCACTTGGATGATTATAACCAACATGTGACATCTCTTAATCTATAAAGAGATCAATCCAAGGCTGATTTGCTGCAGAAAATCGTCCTATCACATTACTAGATATTCCGTAAAAGAAACAAAAAATATGAAGAAAATTTTCATAGTGACTTGTTGGGTTTACTTCTAGAACCCAACTTCAAGGAGATCCAAGAACATGGGAATGAAAGGTTTGGACTGACTTCTGAAGAGGTCATTCAGGAGTGCAAGCTATTCTTTTTTGCTGGACATGAGACAACTGCAATCCTGCTTGTGTGGACGCTAATTTTGTTGAGCAAGCATTCAGACTGGCAAGCTCGTGCTAGGGATGGGTTCTTCAGGTCTTTGGCAACAATATACCGGATTTTGAAGATTTAAATTGGCTGAAAATTGTAAGTAGCTTCAATTTATCAAGAGGATAAGCTCTGATGACAGAATAGTTTGATATTATTCAAGAATTTCAGTTTTGTATCACCAATCTGCAGTGACTAAACTCGAATATCATGAATGTTGGCCACATTTCAGACTTGTTTTTTAGGTTCTCTTTTGATGAATAATTAGTTTCGTGGGTTCGGATGCAGAAGACTTCATAAGGAATATCATAGCTTAACATTCCATTCACTCAGGACACGTTTTACTTTTGCCATTACCTGAAGCACAACGATATCCGAGTGTAGTGTAATGTTTCTGCTTTCTAGTAGGGACCAGCTATTAGTTGACATTGTCTGGATACTTATCTTACAATTTTCTTCTCTTGGAACGAAGTTCACACTCCATTTAAGCATCGGTTTGTAATTCTTCTTTTACAGGTGACTATGATCCTTAATGAGGTTCCAAGACTATATACACCAGGAGTTATGATTTCCCGGAGGGTTAACCAAGACACTAAATTAGGGGAACTATCTCCACCTGCTGGAATGATTGTCTTGATGCCTTCAATCTTGCTACATCATGATCCAAGTTTATGGGGTGATGATGCAAAGGAATTCAACCCGGAGAGATTTAGCGAGGGAGTTGCAAAGGCTACTAAGGGCCAGCAGTGTTTTCTGCCATTTGGTGGGGGACCTCGGATATGCATTGGGCAAAACTTTGCTCTGCTTGAAGCAAATATGGCATTAGCTCTAATTTTACAGCGCTTTTCCTTTGAGCTTTCTCCATTGTATACGCATGCCCCATACTTGTTTCGTACCCTGCTTCAACCTCAGTATGGTGCTCAGTTGATTATGAAGAAACTGTAATATAAAACTGTTATCTGAATCCAGGACTTGAACTATGTCTGTGTGTTATTGATTATGTGACTGAACTTCTGTAATTGCTACATGTTGCTTATCTTGCTAGCCTTTTAGGTTGCTGCTTCTGTAAGGTTTAACAAACTTTTGGTGCAATTACAAGAAGATTTTGGAGTTATTGCTATTTTGCAAAGTATTAATGTTAATAGGTTAAAAAGGACAAATGTTAATGTTCTGGGATTTCTTATTATGTTTATTAATGAACCGCATTAGAGGATGCAGTTGATCAAAAACAAATTTCACATTGATCTTTTTGTTTCCAAACCATTGAGAGTCAAGACTGTAACATGCGACCTTCTCATGCTCAAGTATTTAAAATTACATCCAAAGCTTATTGCAACATTTTCCCCTAAACTATCTTCAATTATCAGTTTTAGGACCTCTGTACCTTGTGCTATCAATTTGCAGCACTTTGTTTAGCTAATTTGCAAACCCTTGAATTTCTCTTGCTATTTTTAAATGAAAAAGACTTTGATACTCCTAATCTGCATCTATTACATTAGGGCACTTTGTTTATTGAACTGACTCTCTTCTAGAAGGCAGATAGAAAAAGACTTCTGATGATGATTTGCGAGGCTTGCAGGATAATCGAGCTATGTTGATTTGTTCTCCTTTATCGTCACCTCTGTTAGGGGGGCCTCAAGAGTGCTAATTTTTCTTTTAAAAAAAAAGTGTAGTTACTAGGAAAGCGTTTAAATACAGAGGATATAATAATTGTATTATGTGTGTTCATATAGTAAATTAAGCGTAATTTAAGTGAACGAGTAGAAAAATCATTTTACCATAAACAAGAATATTAAGGGCTCAAATGTCCTTTATAGGTGAGTGTTGAAGTCGCAGAGCATCTCCATTTATGCAGATGCCGTAAACATAGAACATACCTTCAAGCTACTGACAGGTGCCGAACCTGTGCAATAATAAAAACCTACTCGAGAAAAATACAGATTTTGTATATAGCGGTGAGTAGGGTCGAATCCACAGGGACTGGGAATAATTCGTTTCTTCTAGAGTCCAAAGTATGGGGGTTTTTGGATCAAATACTAACTAAATAAATTAACTGCAGAAAATAATTGATTAAGAGAAATAAGTAAAAGAAACTCTAGTCAAGGGTACACTTCAGAAATGGTTCATGCACTGATCATCGATTCGCAGATAATTCCACATTTATTAATAGATTGGTTATAGTTGTCATGCACGCGATAAACAACCAACCCTTCCTTAATTTATCGATAGCTAAGGTACGACCGTTAACTATTTCCCTAACCCAAAAACAATCCTAGGTACGACCGTAGGATTTAATTTCTAGATTGCATTAAAAATTAGAAAGGCCCAATCCTAACCTACAAACACGCTAAGAGGATTTGTTTAAATTAGATCGTATGTTTCCCTGACATAAACCCAATTACGCCAATTGCTACTGGGATAGAGGTAACGAACAATTACGGATTCAATTACCCCTATTTAGCAAAATAACCTATATGAATAATTAATTATTGCGCACTAATCAATCATACACAAGAGTTATAACAATTAAAAACAGGAATCATATAAATACCAATAAATGAGAAAGCGATTAAAATAAATTCGATCTCATAGTAATTACAGAACCAAATCTTCAGTTGTCCTTTGACTAGAATTAGAAGGTTAGTTCTCCATTAACGGAGAACAACCATGCGAAAAAGCTATCTGAATCTTACCAAATTGTTCCTGGCCAAATCGGCCAAGGAAGAAAAGTAAAAGTCGGCTACGAGGAAAAGTCCCCGACCTCCGTACCTTCCCCCCAGCTTTTCCAAGTAAAAACAAATTTAAAGACAAGCCTCCCTAAGTCTCCTAATCCTCTACGTTTTTAGCCACTCAAAGGGATGAAGGAAATCCATTTCCTTTTAGGCCAGGCCCACCGAGAGAACAAACAGATTCCCATCCTGATTTCTCTCCTTCAAAATGTACCGATTTTCCTAAACAATAGGAATCCTATTATAGATAGCTTTCTTCAGCTTTTGAAATGGCCCCACTGCTTTTCAGCATTGTAGTCCGCTGCTTTATTTAGTTTTGGAAGCTTTCGCGTGTGCAAATCATCCCGAAAATCCGTCAAAGCTGGAGTTAGGCGTGGGCACGCCAAACTATAGGAAATCTGCTGGAATGACGATTTTCGGTACTTTTTCTTCACCACTTCCTGCAATTAATCCCAAATACCAAATATTAGTAGAATATATCAATTAAAATAATATTTGATTAAAATCAAAGGAAAAAATAATTATAAATTTAGCACAAATTATGACTTATAGCTACTTTGTCTTTACCGATTTTACAGATGGATATGCATAGATTTCAGAATGATGTGTCCCAAAGTTGAGGTTCTCCGTCCTTAATAACTAACCGCTTAGCAAGTTCCCCCTGCCAGCAGAAAGTTTGACTGAAGGAGTGGAAGCGCATCAGAGAAAATGGAATTTTTCTATAGCTCGATTGGAGCTTCATCAGTCATAGTTCTTCTCATCGGGGCATGGAGATTCTTGAATTGGGCTTGGATCACACCAAAGAAGATGGAGAAACGCCTCAGGCGGCAAGGTCTACAGGGAAACTCTTACGGGTTCTTGTTTGGAGACACCAGAGACATGGGAAGGATGCTTGAGGAGGCTAAGTCCAAACCAATTTCTTTAACAGATGATATCTTGCCTAGAATCATGCCCTTCATCAATGAAACAATGCAACATAAAGGTTTGTTCTCCAAATTTGCCCGAAGACTATTTGGTTTGCTGTGTTTTTCGGCAATCATGCATTTCATATATGGGTTGACCCAATCTTTTTTTTTAAAGAGTGGATAAGTTGCTTATCAAAAATTATTTTGTAGGTAAAAATAGCTTTTTTTGGCTTGGACCAAGGCCGGCAATGGTTATCTTGGATCCTGAACAAGTAAAGGAGGTCTTCGCAAAATATTTTACTTATCAGAAGCCTCGGGCAAATCCATTCAGTAAACTTCTAGCACTAGGACTTGCTAGCCTGGATACAGAAAAATGGGCCAAACACAGAAGATTATTGAATCCTGCATTTCATGTAGAGAAATTGAAGGTTGTTTCTAGCTTTTTCTGCTGAAATTTGGTGCTGTTTCAATATCTTACACGCTTTTGGCCGTTTCTTGTTATTTATCAGACATGGGACTGGCTAGTGTTTGGTATTGCATCATATAAATGTAGTTATGGTTCCAATCTAGTCCGGATAGAGAACCAAATGCAGCCTTTCCAATTTTAAAATTTCACTGAATAATATTTCCATTCTTACTTTTTGATTAATGAAGAACATAAAAGCTGGAAGACTTGCGCTGTTGATTCTTCACATATAGTACATGGTGCCAGCATTTTATCTGAGTTGTAATGAGATGTTAAGCAAATGGGAGAACCTTGCCCCCGCAGAAGGATCTTTTGAATTAGATGTGTGGCCTTATCTTCAAACATTTACTGGTGATGTAATTTCAAGAACAGCTTTTGGTAGCAACCATGAAAAAGGGCGAAGGATCTTTGAACTCCAAAGAGAACAGGCTTTGTATATTGAGCAAGTTATGCAATCCATTTGCCTTCCAGGGTGGAGGTACGGTACTGTCTTTCAATTTCTAGTTTGTAATTGTATCATTTAGCTTATTTGGTTATTGCTATTTTGCATTCAGTTTTGTGCCAACAGAAAGAAACAAAAGAATGCAGAAGATTTTCAAGGAAGTAAACTCATTAGTTATGGGCAATATCAACGAAAGGCTGAAGGAAATTCAAACAGGTGAAGCTACAAGTGATGACTTGTTGCGTATTTTATTGGAATCCAATTTTAATGAGATCCGACAACATGGAAATAAGAACTGCATGAGCCTTGAAGAAGTCATTGAGGAGTGCAAGCTATTCTATTTGGCTGGACAAGAGACAACCTCAGGATTGCTCGCCTGGACATTAATTTTATTGAGTCAACATTTTGATTGGCAGGCTCGTGCCAGAGATGAGGTTCTACAGGTTTTTGACAACAATGAACCTGATATTAGTAAATTAAATCACCTCAAAATTGTAAGTATAACTTGCAAAATTATGTTCCCATCTTAGCACTTTTTTGATAGTTGATCCAATCACCACTAATCATTGTTCTGTTTACGTTTATTTTTCGAAGGTTACTATGATCCTTAACGAGGTTCTAAGGCTATATCCACCGGCAGCGATGCTTTTTCGAATGATTCCCGAAGAAACTAAATTAGGCGAACTGTCACTGCCAGAAGGAATGTTCATCTTTGTGGCCCGAGTCTTGCTGCAGCAGGACAAAGACTTGTGGGGTGATGATGCGAAGGAATTTAATCCAGAAAGATTCAGTGAGGGAGTTTCAAAGGCTACAAAAGGCAATCTCTCGCTCTTTCCATTTGGTTGGGGACCTCGAACTTGCATGGGGCAAAATTTTGCTATGCTGGAAGCAAAGATGGCGCTGGCTTTGATCTTACGGCGCTTTTCTTGGGAGCTTTCGCCGAGTTATGCACATGCTCCTCAAGTTGTGCTCACTCTTCAACCCCAGTATGGAGCTCATTTGATCTTGAAGAAACTGTAAAACAAGAAATCTTGTTATCAATCTTTGTTTAATTTGCTATGAAGTTATTTGAAGATTGATATTTTGAACATTGCAGGCTCGCAATTCGTTCCACGGCTTAACAATGTAGGAAATGGAAAAGGTCGCGGAATAGAACATAAGAAGAATACGAACAAGTGGGGAGCAATTTTAGGCGGAAGAAAAGTAGGCCGGCAGGAAGAATTAGTCAAATAAAAGAAGAATGACTTTTAAGACCAAAACTTTTAGAATATTGTGGTTTGACCGTTGCATAATCCAACTCTGAGGAAATGTGTGAAAAATATGATTACCTATATATATATATATTGTTATTATCGTTTAAAATGTTATAATGATTGTTGTAATATCAATTTAAGATAACAAAATAGTGGGGAAATAAAAGACAAGGCAGTTAACGTGGCGTTTTAAATCTTCATTTTATTTTTCTTGGCTAGCAATACTATGTAGTTACTCGACATAGATGTGCTCTAATGTGGGTCCAAAATATTTTCTCATTCTTCTTTTTTCTGCTAGAAACAATTAAGAATGGATTTCAAAGCCGATTCTGACTTCTTTTTCATAACAATCGAGATCGTAAATACAAAATATGCCTATGATTCAACTGGCAATGGCTGCACCGTAACCTAGATCGAATTGTGATGTCAATTTGATTGCAGCCTTGAATGCAATTTTGAATACATTAAATAATTAAAGCTAAATTTTTTTCCAAATGAGGGTTAAGGTCATAGTCCAGCTCTGATTAACTATCCACTGCAAGGCCACTTAGAATCATCAAATGAAATGAATATGCGTCGAGAAGACATTGGCTTAGTGACTAAATTTGAAGGTTGAGACCCTAAATATAGAGTTTTTAGGTTATAATCTCCCTTTTTCCCTCGCTACTTCTTAAACCCCCATACCTCCCCTGTTAGGAAAAAAAATGAAATGCATATGTTAACCTCATTTTGCTGTTAGTGATATGCTCATTTTCTCTACTTTGAGACGGTAATACGAAGTTTAATCGAAACTATAAAATTTTAATATAGCAATTCCCACTCTTCGGCCTTTATGGCATGCCAATTTTAAATAGTCACATGAAATCGACAACAAAATTGAGCATAGCAATTGCAAAGCTTAGCCAAATTGGTAAAAACCACTCCACTCAAAGGGCCATAGTTTTGCTCTATACTTAAAAAGGACTACCATGTAACAACTTAATTAATTTGCTTGCTCTCAAAAAAAAATTTGTTTTTGGAACTCTCTATGATTCTTGAATAACAATTCATTTTGATTTGTTCCCTATTTTGTTGCCATTTGCAAGTACTCCAATACTCCTTTTTATCTTTCTACACGTACTTTCCATTTAAAGACATCTAACTCTCCTTAAAAGTTTTAGTCTTCAAATTTATTTTAGAAAATAAGAATAATAAACCATTGAGACGACTAATGAGCTATTCAAATTTAAAACAACTATGCACATTCCTTTGTAATTTATTAGGTCTTGCTTTTCGGCTAATATGAATTTTACACAAAGTCACGGGGCATCAATTGGATATTGTGGAATAATAGAGGGATTGTGTGATAAAATTTTAGAACAATGGACTCGTATAGTAATTTATCATAATTTATCCCATCTTGTATGTTGACTTTAGGACTGTCAATGGTCTGGACCCGAGACCCACCAACATTTTCCAGTTATGAATAGGTATATAGATTCGTGATCCGGACCCGAATTCGGATCCATTTTATCTAACAAAAAGCGGGTCGGATACGGGATATATATTCCAACCCCTATCCGACCCGAACTCGTTTTAATTAATTAATAATTAAAAAATATATACCAATCTATCATATCAATACTACATTACTACTTCTTTCATTCCCAAATTTTTCCAACCCTAATACCCCGCCGCCGCACATCCCTTATTCCCTCTTACTCTCTTTTCTCTTTTCTTTTTTGCTCTACCTCCGCTAGTCCGCCGTGAAACCGGCGACGCTCTCTTCATCTCTGACGCTTGACGGTTGCAACTCCAAAGAAGCCCAGCTTTTCCAAGCTTCTAGCAACCCAGCTCTCTTTCTTATAGTGACAGATTTTTTTTTTTTTTCAATACCGTAAGAATTTGTAAAAATCATGGTGAGGTGAAAGCCTCCATTCTGGTATTTTGTCTTTGTCGAAAACGGTCAAAAAGTTTGTTTATAAGTTTGGTCAAAGACAGCAGCTACTTTGCAATTTAAGGACCGTGAATATGAGTAGCAGTTTGTTATTTGTGTCTACTAAATTGTGCTAAATATTGAAACTTCAGTGATGGGTTTTGATTCTCCTTCACAATTCATGAATTCCTGGGAACAAATGGACGAATTGAGGGAAAATTTTAAGACAACTTGGTGTCTGTGATTAGCTATTATTCTTATAAGTGGAAGATACTTGGTATCTTGGTTCCAGACTGTAGGATTTACTTAATTTTTCTTTCTTTTTAATTCCATTTTCATTGGGAGAAAAATGGCCAAAACGATCTTGTGGGGTACAAATTTTTTTTTTTAGTCACAGTTTGGATGTGATGAACTTTTTGCATGAATCAGGACACTTGACTCGTAGGCTAATTGAAAATTTTTTAAATAATTCTACGTCTTTCTTCCTGTTATTATTATTAGTATTTTTGGATTTGATCATAAACTTTTAATCCAAAAATACTCTTCCTATTATCGACTCATTTTTACAAAAACAAATAAGATAAACAGGTCTGGTCGACAACAAATGCTTGATCCATACTAATTATGCTTTTAACCAACTTAATTTGTTTTCAAAAGAAAAAAAACCCAACTTAATTGGGCTTCAGCCACACGAGGTGTTCAAATAAACTCCATGTATTAGTTGGACTGTTGAGACTCTCAACTTGAGAGGCACCACATATCCACAGCAGTATTTGGTAAATTCTGAAAAAGCCTTTAAACTTGTACCATGTTTATCTAATAAATTCTGTTATTCACTAATTACAGGGTGTCATCTTTGCCAAGTAATCCAACAGGACCAAGTAGCACAGCTGATGAGAATGAGGTTGCCATTTTGGATTCGGAAGAGGAGAATGTGAAGGAAGATGATTCATGTAAGAAACCCAGGGAAAGAAATTAACATCTAAAGTATGGTTTGATATGGATAGAGTTAGGACTGCTACTGGTATTGTTGCCATATGTAAGCATTGCAAAAAAAAAATGGCAGGGGATACTCATGTGGGTGGTTTGTGATTTAGATTTGTAATTTGTGATTTAAGTTTGTGATTGGCTTTGAATAACTTTGTAATTTACTGCAAAACATCTTTCATTTGTATTTTTCGGCAAGAAAAGTTTGGATTCTGCTTCTTCAGCAAATTAACTAACTCCCCTGATTTCGCAAAGGCTTGTGTGCCACCAAGTCCTCCCTAAATATGTACAAAATGTTATAAAAATCAGACTACATTTGCAGGTTCTGAAGTTGTAGCAAAAAATGGCTTTTGACGGGTCTTTTTTCAAGTAGGCCTGACCCGGATCCGGGGGAAAGATTAGGAGACCCGTCAGATATTTGGGTCGGATCCGGAACTAATATAGTATGACGGGTTCGGGTTCGAGTCCAGATTTATTAATTTCGACTCGAATCCGGCCCGTTGACCGACCTAATTGACTTTATGAATTCTGGTTTTAATTTATTAACTTATTTTTCACCTCACAAATATCATATTTTAGCTGAGCTCCCACGACAGGATGAAAATACAGTTTGGATTAAAGTGCTCAAAACATAAAGGGCTTAGATATATGACAGGTTGTCGATGCCTGTACAATAAGAAAAATAAATCTAATTGTCAATTAAAGTAACCAAAACTCGATTTCAAGTACTGGAGCAGGGACTCTAGGTGTGCAATAGGTTACTTGATTCACCCTGTTCCCGAAGAGTTTACTTGATCCGATATATCCGAATGGGATGACTTTTTCACAAATAATTATTAATTGTAAATAGGACAAGTAGGGTATTATCCTCAGGGACTGGGGATATTTATCTCTTTTGAAATCCAAAGTAACACGAGGGATGTTTTTGTATAAAGTATGGTAATTAAAGCAACTCAACTAAAAATAAAATAGTCAACTAAAAATTAAATGACAATTCACTAAAATTAAGGTAATAATAATTAAAGGTCTAGCCAAGAAATAATTTCAGCAATGGTTCACCTAATTGATCATCGTTACACAAGCAATTCCAATTATTTACTAATAAATAGGTTATAACTGCCAAACAAGCAATGATAGTCAACCTCTCCTTACTGTGTCGGTGATTAAGGTACGCCCGTTAATCACTGCTCTAATTGAGAAATAATCCTAAATACGCCCATAAGATTTAATTCCCCAATTGTCTTACGTAATAGATGATCCCTATTCTAATCGAATGACGCATTACCAGGGTTATTTTAGATTAACCCACGTATTCTCCTGACACAAATCCAATCATGCCAGTTGTTACTATTTCAAGGCAATTAAACAATTACGGAATTAATACCCTAATTGACAATAGGTTACTAAATCAATCCACTATCCGGATCCAAGATAATCAATTAATTAAATAACCATAAGCACTGCAATCGGAGAATATGTAAATACCAATAAATACGAGAAAAGATAAAATTAAATCGATCTCATAATTTTAGGCGACTCAAAATATCCATTATTTTTTAACTAGAAAAGGGAATTTAGTTCATTCCCAATGCAAAAGACCCACGCGAGAGTTCAGAAGTAAATATTCACGACACCGTCTTGATTGAGTAAATTCAATTGCGGTAGAATAAGGATGAAAAACCCAAGCTACAGAGGTTGATTCATTGGTTTGTTTTTGGTCTTCAACTTGTCTACTCCTACGGAAAAAAGAAAAGCAGCTAAAGACGAAAAGAAAAGTCAAAGGCTAAGTTTCCGTTGTGCTCCTTCTCTGCATCCTATTTCCTATCTAAAATACTACTGCTACTTTGCGGCTACCCCTAGGAAGAAAAAGATGAGAGTCCAGCTTGTTTTTTCGCCTCCTACATCTTCGGCAGGTATCAAAAGGGGAAAAACTTTCCCTTTTCCAAAAATGCTCCTGGGGTTGAACTCTTTTTTTATGATGACTGTCGAACTGGCGCTTATTATGGTATTTTCGTTTTACTTTCTGAAATAAATATAAAATATCAAAAGTGAGTTGAATCTAACAATTAATTCACATCGTGTCAGATAATAGGGGGAAATTAATAATACAATAAATTAGGGGTGGACACGGGTCGGGTACCCGGCCCGAACGGTAATTGGCTGACCCAACCCTAACATGTCGGGTCACTATTTTTTTGACC